TTGAACTGAAGGATTGCATGATTGAACCGAAGGATTGAATGATTGAACTGAAGGATTGCATGTTTGAACCGAAGGATTGAACGATTGAACCGAGGATTGAATGATTGAACTGAAGGATCGAATGATTGAACCGAAGGATTACATGTTTGAACTGAAGGATTGAACGATTGAACTAAAGGATTGAATGATTGAACTGAAGGATTGAATGATTGAACTGAATCTTTGAATTTTGGCACGAAAAACGCGCCATACTATAAAGGATCTATGTTCATGTGGAAAAGGAGCGTTTAGCACTTTGTGTTCCGACTAAAACTGCAGACAAAACTTCATGCTTGGACCATRCGGTCCAGTGAGTTAAATTTAGGCTCGAAAGCTATCTTGTCATTTAATGTATTCGAATACTAGGTACCATTGAGGCAAGTAGCACCTCTTTTCTTTGATTCCTGGCGCCACAACCATCAAGATATCACGGTCAAAAAAAACGTGTACAATATCAAGATAATGAGATAAAGGTATATGCTCTGGCGTTCTGCTCTAGTTTTCATGAAGTATTAAGAAAAGGAGAATCCAGGTTCCCCGATGTCGGCCCTTTCAATCAATCTRATTTGTTTTTCGAGATAAGCTCCCTCGTTTAATTCTACCTAGCGGAGAATCTCAATAAGTGTAATAAACTAARGTTCGAAGGATTGCACTGACAAATTTCAAGTGAAATGGCTAAAGCAGAGGATGAGTCTAAGAGGAAAAATACAAAAGGAATACAAAACTTTTACCCGAAAAAGAGCCACATGTCTTGTGTTTCTTGTTCACTCCATTCTCAGAATAGATTTGAGTGCTCAATAAAATAAAAGCCCAAGACAATTGACGAACTTCTGCGTGTTCGCTTTATATCATCTCCTGCAATGGATGCTAGTAGTATTGAAAAATCAAAGACGATAACAGAGTGAAAATTCTATTTAGGAATCTACGTTGACTACGCACACCAACTATTTGAACTTAACCTTCCACGCAAGATATCTCAGGAGCGCTAATGCGCAGTTCAGTTTCAAAAACTGGTTCTGACTTTTTTTGATACTGAGCGAGTTATGGCTCAAATCGTTTTGATGAATTATATTGATAAAAGCTTGGGTAACCCAAGWTAGATGGAATGACATTCATTTGACTTCGTAGGATCCTGTACAAATTACGCATGGCGCAGGTTTATCGGGTGCGCACCCGGGCAGGGAAATCTTAACAACTCAGTTAGAGTCTAAACTCAATGTTCTCACACAGCACAGCACAGAATGCTTTTTCAATCTGCCAGAAGCGCTGGCGACATATTTAAATTACRAAAACATATCTTTATATCAGGGTTGCCTACCTAAGGCTGATAATATTGGACTTCTTTGACATTGCTCGACCAAAACAAACGACCTGTTTTGGCATACCGACTATCTAGACTTTCTACAGTTCTTAAAAAAAGAAAGCCTAAGTAGACAAGCTTTGAAGCGAATTGAATAAGCAAAAAAGTCCATTTAGATTTAAGTTTTAAAAAAATGCGTAGACGAGAATATATATATATGTATTTAAACATTTTCTCACGCGCAATCAAAAGCACCGAATTTTGACATTTTTCGATCACAGGGGAGCGGTGAGCATATGCCTTATCGAAACGATTTAGTTTTGGCGGGAGGAAATGATAGAAGTATTCGTGTCAGGTATTGAAAAAGAAAGAAATTTAATTTAAAGGACAAAAAATTTTGTAGAGGCCAAAGAATAAAGCATTTTGAAGTAGATTTTAAATAAGATCGTTGTTTACCTTCAGCTCAGTACGTACTTGCTCTTCGGCGGATTGACGGAGAGTTCGAGTTCTTGGAGTTAAGTATAAACCACTACCACTCGAAAACACGGTTTTCTGATCCTGTAAATCAGTAAAACAGCCTAATTGAACGATTATTGTCAGCTGTTTGAAAACCTTTTATTATAATAACTTGTATCACCAAGCTACGAATTGTTGTTTCTATACTGATTTGATTTTAGGCAGCCTCGGCGTCACTAGTCCATGCATGCTGAATTATTAGTCTTAATCTCACGTTTCTATGGCATTAAGAATTTATATTTACGAATTAATAACGATAAACCAATATTGTATCAGTAAATTTTTAAAATAAAAATGCTTCTTTGCTTAAATTGGAACTGTAAGAGTCCTAGTCCACAGTAAAAGAAAGCGTAAGAAAGCTACGAACTTCCCGCTTGTCTTACAGCAGAGGGACCAAATTGTGCTCCCTTTTTGCCGTCGGCACTCCATCCTAATGGTGCTGGAAATAGCTACGAAATATTGGAATTTTGCAAGTTTCAGTTGGTAGTGTACTTACCAACTTAGCCACACTTGCTCAGCTCGGCCTGAAGTCATTTTATCTTCGATTTCTGTCTTAGCTTGTTTTCAGTCGATCAACCTTAGTCAAGGAAGAAATAAGACAKAGAGATTGATTATTCGCTACAAAACTTTTTATCTCTCTAAAAAGTAAGAAATAGCACGCAGTTTGAGACAAACATTACGAGATATCCCGAGGGGATTTTATATCGGTTATAACAAGAGACTCCACTGCCCAACATWCCGACTTAAACTCTTCTTCTTTATCATGGCCGCGAAAAGCGGTCAGTTCCGGACACATAGGGTCTTGGTGTTTTCAAAGTTGTTTAAAAGTGTACAGTTTTATTGATCATTTTCTTTGAGTTCTAGATTCTAAAATACATGATCGGACACCCTCAGTACATTTTACAGGAAATTTTCTTGTTCAAAACCTCAACTGTGAGTCAATTAGGAAATGGCGAAGTGAACGACAGTCAACCAATGAGATAATTGCATTATGGAGTCATTAACTACTTCTACCAAAATCCCTTGTATACTTCTTTGTTCATTTAATTAGCACCAATTGTCTTACTATTCCATGAGGAAATGCAAATTTGAATAAGAAAGAAAATATTAGCCAAGCATTTTGGTTGTCATAGTAAAATGACGCTTACGGAAAAATCCTATTCTTAGTAGTCGCTTGAGTCAAAAATAAATAAATAAATGAATGAATGAATGAATGAATGAATGAATGAATGAATGGATGGATGGATGGATGGATGGATGGATGGATGGATGGATGAATATAATAAAATAAAGTAAAAATTACCATCGAAAGTAATGACCACGTGTCATTCCCTAGAGTATCATTTCTTTGCTTAAGGTTTGCGCCC